CGAGACCCCTTGTGATGTAAGCCCTTGAAACTTGTAATTGCTAGACAGCTTGCTTAGACTTTCTTGCATGAGGTCCACCTATTGTTGCTTCACGGGATCATCGATCTTGAGTGCTAGGAGCTTCAGTGTCTCAATCACGGTAACCAGTTGGTTCCTAAGCTCGTTGACTTCTTCTTGTGTTTCCATTATAGTCTTAGCTTTCCTCTTGCGAGCTATGGGTTTGTCGAAAAGTTAGAATTGTACGAAGAGGTTGTCCTTGATTAACCGTCCTTCCTTTCTTGACCATGCGCTGTAATTTAAACCATTTTGCGTTTTAATTACTTGACTCGAATCAACTTGACTTTACGGTTTATTTTAAGGAAAGAATAAATAAATCATAAAAAATTGGGTGCATATATCGAAAATAATGTACATATTTTTAGGGAACTAAGTATAGTTTTTAAATTGGAGGATTAATATCCGACCTACCCCCTAAAAAAATGACGGAAAAAATGCGCACACAAGACCCTCTTAAACATGGTCAAAGTATGTGCATTGGTGTGTGCGTTGAGTGTAAGTGACATGTTTGGACTCTTGTGTAAGACCATGGGACTTAGTTCCTAAACTCGATTAACGACTCAAACAAGTACTATTGACAGTAAAACTGAACCGAATTAATTAGCAAATTGATTAATTATATACTAGGTGATGACTCGACCAATAATCCGAACTGTCGGCCAAACGACAGGACTGGCGTCGCACTGTGGAGCTTGGCGCCAGACGACAGAGCTGTCGCCAGGCGCCACACTACAACTCAGACCTTGGCGCCAATATTGGAGCTTCGATCTGGGACTGTTTTCGGTATTATTAGTCAATTGGGGTGCCTAAAGTTGTACTAGGTCAATTCCGATTAAAATATTAGACTTTATTGACTCAAATTAATTAATTAATTAATTAGGCAAAGTTCTTTAGGTCATTAATTTATTTAATCTCAACACAATTCAACAAACGATTAAGAGAAATCATAATATATATGCACAACAAATAATGCACAATTAGTCAAGTAGGCACAATATGATGCAATGAGTTCGCAACCTAACCATGGCTCTAGTTCTCTAAAGTTCGGGATATGGGTTAAGTCAATAGAGGGTCCATGGTTAATTGTCCGGATGCACCGCGCGGAAGCCTAACTGTGAAGGGTTGGCGCGAGTGGATGGGACACCGCGAGTTTTAGAAAAAACTCGCTTCCATGGTTTGGTGAATTCAACATCTCAGATGTACCCTTTGTTGCACAGAGCGTTCAATCGGGTAGATGGAGCATGAATTCCCATAGGGTTATGTAGAACACATATGGGTTTCAGAAAAGTGAGAAAAAATTCAATCAGGAAGTAGGTTCGAGCAAACAATACGAAAAACCGGTCGAAATTAGAACGCATATTTCTGGCTCGATATTGGGGGAGGTTGGCGCCAGCAATCAGAAACTGGCGCCAGCTTTTAACAGTAGCACCTGGCGCCAATGCTGGTGTCTGGCGCTACGGCTAAATGTCTGGCCCCAATGCTGGTGTCTGGCGCTACGGCTAAATGTCTGGCGCCAATGCTCTGGCCCCTGGCGCTACTTCCCACATGCCTCAGCAGTTTTCTGTGCCCGATAAAATTTTCCAGTTTCGCGCGGTGTTATTTCGGTCCTAGTTGTGAAAGATATTTCTCAAATTTCCTACGTCTAAAATCCTATGTTTTTAACTCATTACGGATGGTCTTTCTAATGAGATCTTTTTTATGCATATGACAATAATGTTAATCAAAATTACGCACATGAAATACTTAGAACGTTTCGAGTCTCATCCACTCATTCTAAATCATTGCCGAAACAAATTCAGGAATTAAAATAAAAATCCTCCCCAATGGAGTCGCCAAAAACTGTAGGGAATAAATTTCAAGCGTTAACCCCTAGCTTGAACCCCACTGTGATCATACACTAAAGTACGGTGGCGTCCAAAAGGGAAGAAGATAGAGCAAAAGAGTCGCCAACAAGTTTTAGGAACTTATAAACCGTTCACGTGGTGAAGGTTACACCCCTTAACAATCCATGAGATCGTCAACTCCATAAGGTCTAGAACCAAATAAGGGTTCGGGGATGAAGGTACAAATCCAACCTAAAAGAGATTGAACCTGCCCTAATAATAGGCCTTTACTTTATTCTGATCGTATTCATGTGCGCTTTTTAATTAACATGCAATCAATAGGATTAACCCTAAACCTGCTTATCTATGTTGGTTGAATATTAATGCACAAATAAAACTATTATTGGCGATCACTTGAAATTATAATCACATTAACCCTAAATAAGATTATTAATTATCTTATATAAGCGTGATTACAAGTACCGATTCCCTTTAAACATGCATAAAAAGTGTGATCAAGCAATAACAATAAATAATCATTAAGCAACATAATAATAAAATAATAACATAGTCATCATCAAAATAATAATAATAATAATAATAATATTCATAATCATCATGAATTATAACAATTATAATCATAATCACGTTCATGTTAATATTAAAGCATAATAATAGCAAGATCCTAGGCATGATATTAACAAGATTAATAACAAACCCTAGCATGTCACTAAACAATAAAAATCAAAGCTTTATCCCTAACATGATACTAACAATCATAAATATTAGGAAGAACATAGAAGGCATCGTAACAATCATATTTAATATTAAAATTACCCTAGACATGATATTAGGAATATCATAATATCATTTTAAACATGATCATAACATCAATAAATCAATTAAAGAACTTACTTTGATGCCTCGTACCTCTTTCTAATAACAAAATACACACGTTAGTAACTTCAAGGAAAATAATAAACAATTAAACAATTAAATTAAATAATTAAAAGAGAGATTTGAGACCAAACCCTCAGAAATTAAACCTTTCACGTCTAGGGCGAAGGCAACTTTGAATATGGCTAGGTGTATCTAGATCTTGCGAATGCGGAATTTTGTATGTGAAAAGCTTAGAAGAGAGAGAGATGGATGAATGAATGAATTAGAAGAGAATGAGAAACAATTGAAAACTGATTGTAGGTGATTATAATTGAAAACTGGATGTTGATGAGAATTGGTGAATGAAAACGGAGTTTTTACGTCGTTATTTATAGAGAAAATCAGCCAAAAAGATAAATTAATAGAACAGAGTCCTGGCGCAACTGAAATAGAGCTGGCGCCAACCCTGACTAACTGGCGCCAGTCGCCAACACTAGCGCCAGGCCTAGCTCCAGGCGCCGATGCCTGGAGTTAGGCGCCAGGCCTGTTTTTGACGCGTTTTCGAAAATCAGATAAATTTGCCGTACTGGAGGATAAAATCGTATCTTTTCCTCAAAAATGCTTTTTTGATTTTAATTAAAACTCTAAAAAGTCAACAAAAGTCAATTTATCAATGCTAATTGAATTAGGAATGAAAACAACCTTCTAGAAGAATCTAGAAGACTAAAACCATTCCTAATTGCATTAGGAATGATAAATCATATTAGGCCCTCCCCAAGATCATTGGGCCGCTCATAAGGCTCAAATCGGGCCCAGTTTAGTAAATTGGCCATAACTTCCTCAATATTCATCGGAATTGGGCTTATAATATATCGTTGGAAAGCTCTTGTCAAGCCCATCCAACTACTCTACTCTTGGACCCATATTATGGACCAACCAAACTGGATTTGCTGTTTTCTTAAAATAAGTTTTCAAAAACAAAGAGAAGAGAAAAGAAATTAAAACTGTCCGCAACACTAAACTTTCCACACTTTCGCTTCTTTCGATTGTGATTCGACGTGAAAGGTACTCATCACCAGGTTAGGTTTTGGGGAGACACATTTGGGTGTCTACAGATGGTGAATTTTTGCATAGCACCCATCCCCAGTAGACCACACACACCTTTGCTTCAGGAGATGTAAGCCCCACTTAATGCTATTCCAACCCCATGAACCCACCTTCCTTCTCTGCCAAGAATCTTCAAAAAAGGAGCTTTTGTTAATGTCATATTTAGCCTGGTAAACTTTGCTAAATAAGGATTCTGTATCATTCAGAATACGCCACCCTTGTTTTGCTAAAAGTGCTTGATTAAAGAATCGAGCATCAAGGATGCCTAATCCACCCTTGTCTTTAGATTGAGTTAGAACAGAACACCTTCTCTAATAAATGCCTTTCCCATTCTATTCCCCAGCCACAAAAACCTAGCTATAATGTTGTTAAGTCTCTTTAAGATAACAACAGGACATTTGAAAACAGATAAAACATAGGTCCCCAGATTAGACAATACTGATTTTTATGAGAGTCAATCTACCAGCATGGGACAGAAAGATCGAGTTCCAAACGTTTAACCTCTCCTTAGCTCTATCAACAATTTTGCTAAAAATTTGTTGTTTAGAAGTGCCAATGTCAGCTGGGATTCCTAGGTACACCCCAAAACTGTTACTCTTGCCAAAAAAGTAGGGATAAACCTTAAAAAAATTTGTGTTACAAACTCAACAAATTATATTTTATCGAAAATTTTATATAATACTAACCTTAAAAGGGGCATTTCTTTAAAAAATAAAAATTAAAAAAAAATTAAAAAAAAGGCATAATTTATAGTCATGTAACATCAGTAAACTAAACAAATACTAATATGATATTATATCCTGATTTATAGTCGCATAAATCCTAGTGCCTTACATAACAGCAAATGAATATCAATATGATATATGTCTTTCAAAATTTAATCACTCCTACCTGACCTAAATTGGTTTTTGACTAAAAAGGATCGGAAAAAAGAACATCCATATGAAGGTAATTTAACAATATCTAAGTTATCAACTCAATAAAAGGCACTTGGTCTGTCCTGTGACTAGGGGTATTCAAAACTACCCGACCCGTTTGACCCGACTTGCTAACCCGCAAAGTACTCGACGGGTTTTTTTTAATTTTTTCCCCAATTTAGCGGGTCGGGTACCCAACCCGCTAAAGTATAATATTTGCAGGTCAGGTAATGGGTCGCGTTCTAAGTGTAGCGGGTACCCGTTATTTACCCGTTTTTTTTTTTTTTACTTTTTTTTTTTCTGGAAACATTTTACTCCACTAGGGTTACTTGTTATTGGGCTTTTGTGAGTTAGTGTCTTCGTGAATAGCAGTAGCCGCTATTCTTCTCTCCTCAGTTCCTCACCCTTCTTCTCTCTCCTCTTTCCTCTCCCCTCTCCCCTCTCCCACCTCTCAACACTCACTCTCAAATCCCCGGCGACACCACACGCACATCACCTCACTCCAGGCGAGCACTATACTCACTCTCAAGCGACCACCGCCCTCACTCTCAGGCGACCACCGCACGCACCGCACCTTACTCACCGTTAGCCTCGTCATCAGGTTAGTTTTGTTTGATTTTTTTGGGTTAATTCGTTTACTGATGCTTGTTACTTTGTTTATATTTAATTTATCTTTAATTACATATTTAGGGTAAGAGATTATAGTTTTTGTTAATTTTTTTTATTGTAGGGAATAAAGACTTGGTTTAAGAGAAAACAACAATTATCATTGATGAAAGTCATGAGACAATTGAAGCTTCGGCTCCTGATTTAGTTTGATTTGTGGCTCTGAGATATTGTTTAGACTTTGTAATTTATTTGGTTTTTTTGTTGTTTTAATTTGATGTAAACTCTCTGATTTGAAACACACCGCAAAATAAACACATAATTTTTTTAATTTTTTTTATTATAATTAAAACAGTACATCAAGAAAGGCTTTTTTTTGTATAAATACAACAGGTTTTTTTTAATTAAAAAAATTATATATATTAAAATATCGGGTACCCGCAACGGGTACCCGGTAATAATGGGTACTCGATAAGCGGGTATCCGTTTTTACCGGGTCGGTTAATGGGCCGAGAGAATCACTACCCACACTCCCGGGTACCCGTACTTTCGGTACCCGGTTATGAACACCCCTGCCTGTGACACATCGAGTATATAATTTATTGCTGATGACACCCTGTTCAAAACTTGCTTTGCAAATTCGGAAATTAAAATGTCTGACGTGTCTACGAAGAAGATAACCGATCAGTTAATTGAATAACTGATGTTGATCAACTTGTCAGTAAGACTATACATGGACATTACTTAACTCCTTGTCCTACTTCCGTTATAGGTTATGTGCAACGATTAGACATTTTTCCTCTCTGTTTTATGTCAAATCGTTGCACATAACCTGTAACGGAGGTAGTAATTCATTTTATTATTCCACTATTTTTTTCCTGATACATTAGAAATTTTCCTTATAAAAAGGGGATTCCTGTCTCCCAATTTTCTTAACTTATTAAAATGATCTTAGAATGTCTCGACCAAATTCTATGAATATAATCTTACATTGCCTTTAAAGGCATTAACTTGACTGCAATATATTTGTCCTATATTGTGTTGGCGTAGATGAGTAACAAGCACACTTATAATTAGCTTGCAATTACATATGTACTAGCAGAAAGACTTGCGTGGACCTAGTCCACAATAATGTTATTGTGGACTCGAGGTTTATACACGCACAACTGACATTATAATCCTTAATTTTTACATAGTAACCTATTTTTTTGTTATAAAATAGGGAGAAATATCAGAGAAATTGATAGAGAATATATCAGTGTATTTATATTTCATATAACGGGGATATATATATATATATATATATATATATATATATATATATATATATATATATATATATATATATATATATATATATAATACAATTAGGGTTTTCTTAGATAAAAATATAAACCCTAATTCTATCTAGAATATTCTAGAATGATACAAGGAGTATAATGGACATCTGCATAATATTTAATAACACTCCCCCTTGGATGTCCATTATCGAAGATTGTGCCTCGTTAAAACCTTATTAGGAAAAACCATGTGGGATAAAAACCTAATGAAGGAGAAAGAGTACCACATTCTTCGTAATACGCTCGATATGCTGCCTCATTAAAAACCTTACCAGGAAAACCCAATGTGGGACAAAACCATGGTCAAGGGAAAAAGAGTGCAGCGCGTATTTTCTCCCCCTGATGAATACATAACTTGAGATATTCTAGTGTCGCAGCAATGAATCCAATATAGTTGAGTATCTTCTCCTATGGCGCAGAAAAGTTCATTCTTTGATCCTCCTAAATCTTCACATCTTCACACGAGCAAGTGAGTCTTCATATCACCATACTTATGATAATAAGACATGTGTTTGTCCACATTTCATTTGAAATCTTTGTTTAAATTTGCCTTATCTATTATACTTTATGCCTTCTTCCGGAGGCCATGAATAATAAAAATTGATGATCATTATTTGATCAAACATTTCTTAATAATTACTACGTATATGGCAACACATGCTAATATTAATGTTGTTCTTCAATCTTGTATGAATTAATAATATAACACATGTAATTATGTACGCTAATCATGGTTCTTCTAGACCATGAGAAAACATTCTCGCGCATAAGTATTCCATTGATATTATTTAGATGTTTCATGATTGACATGATAGCTCTCTTGTAAATACAAATAGTAAATCTTACTAACTCTCACATGCTCAAACTTCAGGTTGAGATGACAATAATTTAGTCACATAGACTTTTCAAGAGTTTGATAATAATTGCAATATTCAAGACATAAAAATTTGTAGGGTTAGGCATTTAATACGTCGTACATAAGTTCTTCAGGAACTCCTTTTACATAATTCATAACGTGTTATTAAATAAGTGTCATCAATAATTTCATTACAATTATAAGCCCATTGCAATATGAATATCTCTTTCTAATTTTTCATCAAAGTTGTAAATATGTCTTACTATACTTTGAATGAACATTCACATACACCACAGTCATTGTAAGAAATTAATCCATGCAATATGAGATATATAAAACATGATAACATATTAAACAAATTATACAATGTGTAATGCATCTAACTTCCTACATATGCAATAAACCATATTAACCTATGACTCACATGCACATCACTATAAGACTCAAAGTGATGCAAGCCACTTTACAGTGTGGATTTAAAAATCCATATTTCATTGGACTTCGGGTCCATGATAAACTTATGATCATTATCATTATGTCGACATCAAAATGTACATATATTTCAGATCCCTTATGTTTCGGGGTTTTCTGATGTCATGCGGGAGAGTTACAACACCGAGACTGGAACCGGCCGCCTGTACCTGCAAAATAACGGAGACTCCTGGGAGCTCCGCCTCCAACGGTCAAGTTAGTACTTGTTTGAGGAGTAATAAGTGCGGAAATTAAAGGGGGAAGATCTGGTTCCTCTAGGGGAGGAGTGATCAGTGTGTTCAGACTTCTCTAGGTGAGAGTAATTAATTGCTCTTTTTCTTTAATGAGGATTAATTAAGTATTTATAGTCTTGAGAAGCGTGCCACTCTCTAGGTTTAGGGTAAACCTAGGGCTGACTGGGCCTCTAAACAGGATTGGGCCTTGTTGGCCGGTTTTCCCATTTGGCATGGGTGGACACGTGGCGTGTCTCGATTGGTCCGTAGAGGACGTATCTGTGATTGACACGTGGCAGGCTCCTATTGGCCTACGTGAAGGACACGTGGCGGAACCCGATTGGTCCACTTGTCAGACGGTGATTGGTGGATAAAAATCCCCTAATCATTTGCCCCTCACAGGTGGCACGTGACTGGTCACGTGTCACCTGTGACAGGCGCCGCATGGTGACAGGCGACGGCCTGCTGCAGGTGTCACCTTGCAAATGGCCGAGAGATTTTCCCGCCCAAATTTTGAATTTGGAAGCGACCCTTCGCCTTCTCACTTTGCCTATATAAGGAAGTGCTGACTTCGGTCATTTTTCACATTTGAGAACTTTGCGAGAGAACATTCGGACCCCTGAACTTGCTCTGACACTTTGGACTTTTGTTGCCTACCGCCTGCTCTGACAAGCCGTTTGCAAAGGATTTCAGAATTTCATAAGTCGTCACTCGTTCAGGTAACCGTCGGTTCTCTTATTCTTAATTTTTTTCTTATTATTATTTTTTGAAATGGCACCATGGAAGCACACGACACGACCTAAGTTAGTGATCAGCCGGTCACCGGGGACGACTGAATCTAGGACTAGGAGTGCCGCCTGCCCTTTTCTGGACCCATCTTTGCCCTTTATACAAAGTCCGACTGTATCTGTGTCTATGCAGAACGTGATGGCCAGAACAAAGAAGACTGCTAGGATCTCAAACTCGGACGGCTCCTCCCAAAGGGTGCCCATTAGTGAAACATCTGACCAGGCGCCAGATGTAGATGGGAAACAAGGCGGCTGCCAAGCCGACAGTTCTGAGGGAGGGGGCAAGGTGGTCCCTTCCCATTTTACCGTTGATATGTCCAACTTTTCTCCTGCTCCTTCTAAGGGAGAGGAGGCGGGCCCCTCTGGGAGAGGGGAGGAGTCGTCCTCTTCGGACTCGTCAGAGGACGAGTCCTAGTCCAGCTCTTCTGGCCACGCTTCTCCAGGCTCAGAAGAAAGAAACAGCCGCCTACAAGAGGCGAGGCTTTCTCATGCAGTTGAGAAGGGGGGCAATTGGGCGGAGCCGTCCGCCTCTTACAGAGAGGAAAACACCCCCTACCACTGCACGGTACCCCGGGGCCGGATCGCGACCATGAAAGACAAAGTGGAGAGCTTTATAGCTAACCACAGAATGGGCCCCAGATTTTTACTGTTCGTGCCGGATCCAGAAGACACTGTCGTCTGGCCGGCTGGTACCAGCTATGATGGCGGCTGCTTTGGCTGCTATGAGGCGGCCATCAAAGCTGGACTGCGCTTCCCATTACATCCGGCTGTTCAGCGGATTTTAGATGGGTATGATTTGGGGTTATGGCAGTTAGCCCCCAACTCTTGGGTAAACGTACTCGGCTATGTGGCCGGGTGCGAAATGTACGGGGTGGAGCCAAGCTTTGAGGCTTTCGCCCACATGAACTATCTCAGCCGGACCCCTAAGTCGGGAGGCACCGGCTGGTATCAATTAACAAGCCATAGGGGCTACCTCATGACGAGAGGTAAGGCGAACAAATGGAAGGATTGGCGGAATACCTTCCTTATCATCGAGGGTTCAGACACGGAGCTGAACAAACGCTTTAACAAGTGGAATAGGGATCCGCTTCTTCTCGCAGGCGGCCGCAGCATGCCGCCTGTTCCCCCAAAGGCTAAAAAAGAGATCCTAGACAAAGGACTCTTCAAAGTAGAGACTAGGGTGAACTCTACTTCAGGGGTACGAGAGCAAGTACCCCTGAACTGCGTCCCAAACTTCAAGTGGCTCTATGACGAGTACTTTTTGGCCGCCTGTGGCCTCAGCAGTCGGTGCTCTAGAGGTAGCCGGCCTGACAAATACTCTGTTTTTTCACGCCTTGTTTACTTGGGATTTTTACTAACTTTGCTGTTTATTTTTTGCAGCTGACGCCATGAGTAAAATAACAGCATCCAAGACTGCGGCGGCCATGTTGCGGGCCTCTCTCATGCAACAGTCTTGTACCGACTCCCCCAACAAGGGGGCACCCTTGGTAGGCCTCGAAACTCTTCCTCTTTTAGGAGTTGTTGTCTTATGCATATACTAACTCTTTTTTTTTCAGTCGGGCACTCCAAGAGCTTCTTCCTCGCAACAGCCGGACCCCAAGGCCCGGAGGACGACTGTTGCAAGCTCTCCTGGGTCTTCCAGGAAAACAGTGGCGGCTGAGAAGCAGCC